TCAGCTGCTGTCCCATGTGCTGTGGCCACCTAGGGCGCAAAACTGCCTAATTACATTTCTGCTTCTGATAAATGTTTGACCCCACAGGATTCCACATAAGTCCATAGATTTGTCCAAGTAAAGACCTGAGGGCTGGGCTTTATAGCAATTGTTTTAAGGAGGGTGTGCAGGTTCCAGTGCTATCCATAATCACAAATGTGGTTTGAATTGACCAAATATGAAGAGAGAATTTACTGGCTAATTGTCCTTGTATGTTTTCTCTACCTGATTAATCCCCCTGCTGCTAGAGGTTTCATTGCCCATTCAGAACTGTACTTTTTGGGACATGCTTTTAGTTCCTTTGAAGAGACAAAACTCCCATAGGCTTAAAGTGGGAACAGAAAGCTCCTGGCCTTCCACCACCTAACTTAAATTTTAAACTTAGTGGAATTTAAATACCAGGCAGACACAAAACTTCCCCTCACCGGAGATCCCAAGACCATCCGAATCTGTAGCTCTATGCTTCTTTGTTTACATGCCTTAAAATTTGCTATTACATGATTTACATGTAGTCAGCAAATGGCTGTCTTATTCAGTCTAGAGAGAGCCTGAGTAAAGAAAGTTATTGCCTGCTAAGCAAACATCAATGACTGATTTAACATATTTACTGTATATAAGTCAGTCTAGAAAAGATTAGTTTGGGGGTGTTTTTTAAACAATTATGTAATGAATGTTTTGGAACCAACTTCCTAGGGAAGTGGTCCTTGCTCCTACCTTGGGTAAATTGAAAAAGAAGTTGGACGAACACCTGTCTTGGGTCGTGTGATCCCAGCGTGTGCCCCTGCCAGTGGCGGGGGTTCAGACTAGATGATCAGTTCAGGTCCCTTCTGACCCCAAACTACTATGAAACTATGAATGCCAATTATCCAATATATACTTGTTACTCCTAAAAATTCAAAGCAACCAACCAATATGCAACCTATCCACAACAACTGTCTAAATACACCTAAGCTATGTGGCTGCTATTGGCTACTAAGGGACTATGTATGAGTATATAGGGTGATTGGCAGTATTTGAGCTTTGGGGATCATTTATATGTGAAGCATTGATCGGTCTAAAAAAAACACAATCCTGCAAGTATAACACTGAAATCTGATTTGATTTTGCAACATAAGTTTTCATAGTTTCATAGTTGGTAGGGTTGGTAGGTAGTTTGAGTTAATCAGAGAAACAAAACCTATCTCTTTAACAGTGTCAGCAAAAGGCTTGCATTTGAAGCTCAGACGCTAAGAAGAAAAAAAATTCCCCCCTCCTACTCTTAAAAAAATGGGAACATCATAAATTATAAAAAAGGCGGTGTCAAATATTATCCCAATGTATATTAGTACAGACTGATGATACAGAGGTTTCATCTTAAAATGCAAATTTGTCCTGAAAATTGACTAAATTAATGGAATTGTGGTGTTCCATGTTCATTGGCTCTTAGTTGCTTCCATTTCTAATTTTCTCTATCCAGAAATAAAACATTTTCTCTAACTGCCAGTCCAGTAAGTGGGATTCTTTCCATTTCATGCAAATGGAAAGAATACACAACAAAAGTAGACCTAAAGAGGTCTTAGTATAAAAAAACCCATCCATTTTATTTACTCTGCACTTCAGGTTGATTTTATGAGTAGCTAATACAGCAGCATAAAACATTAGGAGTAGAGATTATTGAAATATTTATAACAAAAACATTTTTTAAAAACACTCTTTGAAAGCAATGTTTCTTTAAATTTCCTATTTACTGATAAAAGCAGAAAACATTTATGTGTGAGTGCATGTTTTAAATGCATACAAGTTTGCATGCAAACACAAAGTGTTTTGATTAAGATAAATACATATGTAATATGATAAGGTGTGATTTTATAAGCATCTTACTGCTTCAAATGTTTAACAAGGACATGTTAGAATGTCATATTTTCTTGCATACAACCTTTTCCCTCAAAAATAGCTGCTGGAAATTGGAGTGTGCATTAGATGCAAGAAATAGAGTAAGAGCAGTTTCTGCTGCTTACTGGGTGAAACCTAAAGTAAAATTTGCAGGGATCAACGGGGAGCTGAGCAATGAGTAAGCTCAGCTCCCTAGCTGCTGGTACTCAGTTACTTACTACAAGGAAAGATCTTCTTTTCTTCATTTTCCCTTTCAGAAATAAGGTGTGTTATACGGTGTGTTATAAACACACCCTGGAATATGTGAGAAAATATGGTTTAGTATTATTTTGGAGTGTTTTGGTCCATTGAACGGAGTTTTGAATTTGAAGCAACTGACCTTATGCAGCCAAAGCCATCCTGATTTAAGTTTGTTTTCATTCCATGTATTTGCCTGCAGAACATTTGATGTTACTATGGATGAACCTTATATGACTGTCAGTGCTGTTTAGTTTTTACCTTCACAACATCTCTACAAACTGTCTGGGAATGCATTAATCATCATGTCAACTAGGCAAACGTTGAACAATTATTCTTGATTTTCTTCTTCTTAGTATTCTGGGCCTGTTTTTGAAACAATGCAAATTGGAGTATGACACACACGTTTTAAGGTCATTTGAGAAAATACAGAAAACTTCCTGGAATCCGATGGTTCCTATTTTGTTTAAGTATTTGTTTTTCAGCTGAATTTGAACCGTTTGACTCAAGACTGTAAGCAATGGTACACATGAATGCTCTATGCTGTGTGGCACTGAGGAGCTGCTGCCAGATACTGTCTCATCAAGTCAAAGCTGACAAACAGTACTGCAGAGGAGGTTCTCAGTGCCTTGAAAAATTGGGTCCCAACCTAAAAAGATTTTGGCCCCAGATGCTCTGATGTAATGCTAGAGTCTCAACAGCTATGCATGGAATACATTGAAGCCAGTATAATATTTTTCAAAAATTGATTCTTACCATTACTTACATCTGAGCTTAATAGCAGCATGCCACAGGCCTTAGGAAATGTTACTGATAAAAGATTTTATGCAGATTGTATAGCTATGTAACAGCTGAACAGAAGGCATCCATAGAAGCACTACAGCTTGAGAAAAGGGCTGGCACAAAGTATTGCAAGTTTAGCATTCCTAGGATGTTGCACTTAAACACTATTAATTTTTGTTCATGCATATTCCTTGCACACATTTGGAAATTTGGTTGATGAACTGTAATGAGCATAATGCCTCTTATATATTTGCCTATTGAGGGGACATATTGTGCATTACAAAGAGTATTTTTTCCATTGTAAGGCAGAAGGCTTCTGGCTCTCCCTTTCAGATAAAAGGCATACAAGACTCATTCAGAGCTGCTTAAGCCTTTTTATTAAAGATCATAATTACCTAGAAGTTATGACAGAAATTAAACCAAGCCACTCCCTGAGGTAATCACAAGGGCAACATGACAGAAAGCCAGGCTCTCTCCTCCTGTGGATTGTCTGCAAGTGTGGGAACTTAGTCTTGAGGCACACAGGTTAGTGCTACTGTGGTTGGATCACACACAAGTTTTCAGGCTACCAATAGCGGTAACAATTCTGGGGATAGAAATATATTTGACAGAAATGTAAAAATGTTTTTAAAAGCATCTCTTCTCACTGAATAGAATTGCCACTGAAACTTAAGCATCACCAGAAGCTATGACATTTAACAACTTCTTTAAAGACTTTTTAGCTATCTTACAGTTACACTGCAAATTAGAACAGAGCTGCAAGTAACAATTAAAAAATATAATTAGCTTACTTCACCCAGTGCACTTGAAATACATTAAGGATACAACTACTCCATAGCTGCATTATTTATTTTTAATAAATGCATTTAGTGCATATTAATGGCCCTAGATCACTTGCCTGATAACGATGTCGGGTGAACCTTGCTCTTATGTTTCAATGTTGTTGGGCATCTCTAAGGGTCAGAAACTAGTTTAATCGTTCTCCTTGTCCATTCAGTGCTTGCAGGTCTGCTGAATTTGCCAGTTACAATGATATTTTTTTATGAGGGTAACTATTCACTAGGAAATTAACTGAATGATCTGTAGCTCATTTCACTTAGGCTTCTGAGTGGTATATTCAGCTTTCTTCCACTGAAAACAGCTGGGATGGTTTGAAGAACTGCCATAGAAAGTCTCTTTCATCATTGCTGAGTCCCCTTAAGTACATGAAATGTGGATTGTATGCTGCTTGGACTTCACTTGCCCTTCCTTATAAATGCACAGAGCATCCCTTTCCCTTCAGATAAAAAACTGCTGCACATGCATCTACAGCCTCTTTTCTGTCTCCCCCAACTCATTCCCCAGCATTAAGTAGCAGATACTGAGAAGGTGAAAAAAGATGAGAGAACAAGTTTATGACCTTGAATTTGAATGAACCTTCATCATTTTCCTGTTAAAACTACTTATTACTTAGCTCTTTGTATATACATTAATCAAGCCTCATGGCATCCCCGAGAGACAGTAAGCTTATATTCGCATTTTACAGATGGAGAAACGAACAAAGCTGGAAGAGGGAGATGTCTTTAAAGTCACTGGAGAAATCTATATCAGAGTTAGGAGCAGAAGACTGTGGCTTTCTAATCTAGTGCCATGAAACTTAGGCTATGTTTCTCTCATTAGCTCATTTCCCTCCCTTACAATTTAATTTTTGAATGAGTTGCTTTGGAGCTTTTTAATAATGTAATCCTGGAATTCAAGGCAAAAGTGTCCAGAAGTACAAGCTGGAAGATTTCTGGTCTGAGGGTATTATTTAGTAGTATGAAGAAATCAACTGCTAAGCAATCTTTTCTATTTTCCATGAGAACAGGAGAGGGATGCCTTTGCAGGCATTCTTGTACTTGTTCAGAAAACTGAGCAGCTGATCTAAACAGACTAGAAGTAGAAAGCTAGGCTTGTAAACATCTAATCATCCCATGACTCACATCACCTTGTGGGATTCCTTTTGCTTTTTATTACTTCTGATGAATGCCTTTCAGTTGCTGCCTGTAACTCACCACTGTCACTGACTTTCTTTTGCTATTATCTTACAGGAATATCTTCCAGGCTCCCAGAAATCATGTCAGTAGGATCGCAATCATTCTCCCCTGGAGGCCCCAATGGCATCATTAGAAGTCAGTCCTTCGCTGGCTTCAGCGGTCTGCAAGAAAGACGCTCTAGGCAAGTACTGACTGAGGGAAATCTTTGGAGCTTGGGACAAAAGGAAGATTTGCTTTCTGGCATTCAGAGGTGAATCTGGTATGGCATAGGTCAGAAACTCTTTTCTTATTTTCTGTGCAGCTAAGATTTGTGAGCCACTATATGCCTTGATTATCAAGAGCCCCATTAATATTGGGTGCTCTCCCTGGCCTCAACCTCAGAAAAGTTTTGCTGACATCTTAAAGAATAGGTTTTAATTCATTATATTCATGTAATCTTTTCAATATGTAGACTGTCCAGAGAAGAGAGAGTTTCCACATCTCTAATTCAGTATCATATAAAAGGCAAAAGACACCTTGCTCTCAGTTAAACTGCTATCAAGTTAAAACCGTGGAGCTATTGCAAATTGATACCAGTAATAGAGCAGATTTGGCCCCAAAAATCTCTCTTTACCCTGGACTTTTGCCTGCAACTGCTAGAATATGGTTTGGGCTTTGAATGAGACTTTCATTGTAAAAACCAGTTCCTAACCTCTTTTGGATCTAATAGGTACATTTGAGTTAAAGTATTTAAAATCCAAGGGCACCTATACATGTGCCCAATGCCTCCTCCAACATGTTCCAATTAGAATATGTTGGAGCAGACGCAATTGAGTCTGCTGGAGTGTGCTAACTAGCATGCTCTGACAGCCTTGGCATCATGTGTATTCAGCGTTCCCATGCTTTAACATGGTGTCAGGGGTGCTTTAACTACACCTTATCAAACAAGCACCCCCACTGCCATGTTGAAGCATGGAACACTGAATACGCAAGACGCTGCTTTAATTAGAGCAGCTCCTGTGACCTGCTCTAATTAAAGCACCATCCCCACCCCAGAGCATATGTAAAAATCTAAGTGCCAGGCAGTCAATCAACCAGGGAACAACAATTCTAGGGCAGTTTTCTTCATTCAAACCTTTATCTGAGGGAGAAAATTTTTTTATACAAACAAAGTAAAATTATTATTTGCAATACATTAGTTTCTGGATGTAGGGACTGGGATCAGAGTACCACTGTACCAGACACTATATAAACACATACTGTAAAACAATGTCATTTAGTATTCTGGAGAGCATAGTTTTATATGACTAAAAATGACCTTGTTCCCATCACCTGGTCTTTTGCTGTTTTCCTGGGCAGTGTCAGACGAGAAAGGCATGGCATAAGATGCACAGAGGTGTCTGACAGAGGCCAGCCTCAGGCTTAAGGGAGTGTTTATTCATGTCTCAGCAACTGGCACATCAAACACTGATAGCCTGTATACAGAACTGCTCAGACCTATTAATCTGTAAAAAAGCACAGTCCTCCAACAGGCAGACATATAAGCAGATTGCTTTCAGCCAGAAGAATGTCAGAACAATTCCCTTAGGATATTACAGTCCTTCGAGAACATCCCAACTTACAGCTGGCTGTTTTATTGTTTTGGGTTTTTTTTACGTTCATTTTGCAGATGTAATTCCTTCATCGAAAATTCCTCTGGGCTCAAGAAGCCCCAAGCAAAGGTGAAGAAAATGCATAACTTGGGACATAAGAACAGCACCATGCCCAAAGAGCCGCAGCCAAAAAGGATGGAAGAGGTCTACAGGGCCTTAAAGAATGGACTGGAGTAAGAGCTTTTATTACTGTGGATGCTGACACTCTCTTTACTACTTTTAGTGGATTTTAAAAAGTGCATCTTGGGAGCAGAGACCCTCAGTCATATGCAAGTAAATCAAACTACTTGCTTCTGCTCTGGAGCATTAAACCCACTCTCATATGGAAAACAAGAACACCTGTAGTAAAATCCTGACTCCGGTAAAGTCAGTGGCAAAACTGCCACTCTAACATGGCTAAGATTTCTTCTTACATTTTTTGTTCTGCATTTGCCTCATGGGTACCATGATGTAACACAAGAGAGCCTCACAGAAGATAGCAATACCTTTGCAGTACAAAAGCAGTGATTAGAGGCAGCCCACAAACTAAATGGCAGATTAGTTCATTCAAAAGCCAGCAGTTCAGTGCATTTGAAAAAATTAACCTGTTATCCAACAGTAGCTCCTATTGTCTGGTTATATGGTATGGGGACTCGGGGTTGCACATTTGAAGTACTAGGGAGATATATTCTTATATTCAAGACCATATGAATGTGTTTTCCTGCTTATAAATGTGTTAAACCAGCTGATATCAAGAACAATCATTTGTTGGCCAAATCTTCCTCTTTCAGAGGTCAGCAGTTACTCTCTACTGGAATGCACTAGAGTTCATGATTCTCTTTCTGGTTTGTATTTACAGTGAGTATCTGGAAGTTCACCAGACAGAGCTGGATAAGTTGACTACTCAGTTAAAAGACATGAAAAGAAACTCCCGCCTGGTATGTGTTATCCCACAATTCAGAAAAATTAGGTGTTATTTACTAATCATGCAGATGAAGAATAACCTTTTCCAGGTATCAAAGAGACGGGGAAGGGGGATAGAGAAAAGCTGGCCTTTCATACAGTTCTGTGTGTTTCTAATAGTGAGCTCCCATCTGCGCTCATGTTCTGAAATCCAGCTAGTGAAATATAGCTGGTCTAAAACCTTGTGACAGAACAGTATTCAATAATGTGATGCTGAAGTTAATTATCTCAATTTTCTTTATTGCAGGGAGTGCTGTATGATCTAGATAAGGTACGTTACCATCCTGAGCATTGGTGCCACAATGAAAACATTACATTTAAAAAAGCTATGTACTCTAATATGGATGCAGCTGGCTTGAATCCTTAATTGATCAAAGTTCTGAGGGGGAGAGGAGGTCACAGGGTCATTGAGAAGCAGGGCTGGAAGGGACGGGACCTCCAGAAGTCATCTTGTCCAACCCCCTGCCTGAGGCAAGATCATCCCTATCCAAACCATGCCATACAACCATGATCTAAGCTCTAACTCAGACTACCCTCAGCCCTGACACAACATAGACCTAATGCCCTAACCTGCCACAGGTAAAGCAGGGGAACCACGGCAGCCAGTGTCCTGCTTCTATAAAATGTTGTCACTGTATGCTCAAGAGGTCCCAGGTAGAGGACCAGGCTCCCCATTACAGAGGAAAGCAAAACCCCCCACGTTCCATACCAATCTAACCATGGGGTAAAATTCCTTCCTGCCCCTAAATATGATGATCAGCAGGGATCCTGGTTTTCTCTGATAAAAAAATCACCAATTTTCAGGTTAAAAAAAGTAACTCAAAATCCACATTTTCCCATGATTAAAATGAAACAGTGCTATATCTATCTAGCTATTAGTGGCGCTTCATTCTGATCATAGAAAAATGTGGATTTTGGGTTACTTTTTTAAATCTGAAAATTGGGGATTTTTTTTTAATCAGAGAAAACCGGTATCCATGCTGATCAATCTGACCCTGAGCAGAAGGGCAAGACCCTCTAGCAAGGAACCTCCAGCTTTGGTTCTAGCACTGGCACACCCCAGTCAAAATCCCCAGCCAATATCCGGTGTCTCTAGGACAGTGGTCACCAACCAGTGGATCTCGTTCCACTGGTAGATCTCGGAGCCTCTGGGAGTTAATCCAAGGCTGGGGTTGGGGGCTGAGTGCCCATGTGCATGCAAGTGTGTGCCCCAGCCCAGCCAGATGTCTCTCATTTTGTATTTATGCTTTTGATTAGGGGTGCGAAGTGGGCAGTATTCGATTCAGATATGGCCTGATTTGGGGGACAGTGGTTCGATTTGCTGATTTGGGTCACTGTCCTGATTCAGTTGGGCTGAATCTGAAGATTTGATTCTGATTCAGCGAATCAGTGATTCGGCCATAGACACGGCTTTATACGTTTTTCTGCATACCTCAAGGTTCCAGGTGCAGCTCGTGTACTCTGAGATGGTGGGGTGGATGGAGCATCTCATGGGAGTGCGGCAGGGTCCCCTGCCCCCCCCAGCTCGGCAATCAGCCACAAGGGGACCCCGAGTGCCCCCCCCCAGACTCAGGAGGCACCAGTCGCTGAGCCAGGGGGTTCCCTGCGCACTCTGCAGTGGACCCAGAAGTGGACCACAACTACTTCTACTACTGTCCCGGCACTCCTGTGGGATGCTTCATCCACCCTAACATATCAGCATTCACGAACTGTGCCTGGTACCTCGAGGTACATAGAAAAAAATGTATAAAGCTGTGTCTATAGCTGAATCGTTCAATCTCTCCAAATTGATTTGGAGGGTTCTGATTTGATTTGGAGAGATTAATGGGTCTCCTGACTCAATTCACATTTGGAGATTAAGCTGCCAAATCAGGCTAAATCTCCTCTGAATTGAATCAGCGACCAAAGCTTTGCACAGCCCTACTTTTGATTATTCCTCATGAGGTGTAGCACTTTGCAATTGTCCACATTGAACTTCATCCCATTATTACTAGCTCAGCTTTCCAACCTGTCAAGATCCTTCTGAACTGTGCTCACATCCTCCAACGTATTCACAATCCTTCCTAGTTTCATGTCATCTACAAACTTGCTCAAGAAACTTTCTATGCTAGCATTCATATAATTAATAAACACATTGAACAGCACCGGGGCCAGGGCAGACCCCTGGGGACTTCATTTGAAATCTCCTGCCATTTTGATATGGACTTGTTAATAATTACCCTTTGCTTGCAGCTATCAAGCCAGTTATCTATCCACCTTGTAGCTTTATCCAGCTCACATTTCTCCAATTTGTTTATGAGAACATTGTGTAGGACTTTGTCAAAAGCATTGCTGAAGTCCAGATACACTACTATATCCACAGCATTCCCTTCATCCACCCAAGTAGTTACTTTATCAAAGAAGATCGGGTTTGATTGACACTATTTGTTTTTCCTAAATCCATGCAGGCTGCTTGCAATCAGCCTTTCTTTTTCCGGATACTTGCAGGTCAGCAGGCCAGGGCAGCTTGTCATGGCTTCAGTGGGAGGGGATCAAACCCTGAGGGGTCAGTCAACAAGTCCTAGTAACGTCAATAAGCTTCTTTATCAGATTGCATAGAACCCCCACATTACACCCAAGACCTGTGTAGGAGGTCAGAGCAAACAACCTCACTCTGCCTCAACCCTGGCCATCAAGCCAGATCTAGAGTCTGGAAAGGCTATCTGACACTGTCTCTCTATTCAAGAAAGAGCCAAAATAATTAATAGAACATTTCAGAATAGGTGTGCCCTATGACACAATGGTACACTGAATCCTCAGAGTGTCTCTGTTCTGTACAGGCATGATCAAATGCAAAATACAGTTCCTTCAAGCGCCACAAAAACTTTGACACAATGTTATTTTTCTCCCAATACTCTTCTGAAAATATTTGGGATTTTCCATGAAAGAATTAAAGCCAACAATGGTCAGTGTTTCAAAAAATATTATGGTAAAACCCCAATTTTTTACAGAAAAAAAATGAAAAATTTTAAATATAACCTAAAAGAGGGAACAACACATTTCTCTCACACACACAAAAATCCATTTCCAGTTGATTGGTAAATCAGAAAAAAATCTGAAAAAGATGAGAATGGGTTTTTTAATTTTTGGGGGCTAAAATTATCCCTACTTTTGAATAAAAATATAATGACAATAAGATGAAGCATCTCACTTTTCATTTATGGGCAAGCATCTTTCTGAAATATAAAGGAGCTTTGCATTTTAGGGAAAAATGAAAAAGAAGATTTCAGTCGAAATCGATATAAAATGCAATCAGATGACTCATTTAATTTTTTTTTTTTTCCAGCAAATCAAAGCAATTGAAAGATATATGAGAAGACTGGAGTTCCACATTAGTCAGGTAATAAACAGTCCTATCATCTTTCCTTTGCATCTGCTTTTAATGTTGTTAAGAAAACAACCTTTGGCTACTATTAGTCTTTCTACTCCAGAGGGACTTCCTTGCCTAAGCTTCTCCTAAACACAGTTTAAGTTCTGCAGTGACAGGAGTCAGAGGGAAAGAAGAGGTTTTAAAAAGCTATAAAAATCTTTGTGGTCTACCAGTTCTACATGCACAGCAAACATGCAACTGACAACGGCTGTCCAGGAATACAAAGTCAGGCCCATGATGGAAAACCAAGATCTTAAAACATGAATTTCTATGGTATAGATAAAGGGACACTTGCACAGTTAAGTTGTTAACTTTTACCTACAAAATCTGATAGCTATCAGTTATATTTCCCCCCAATTTGACAAATTAATGAATTCATATGATGGATACATTTCTATTCAGACTTATCTAAAAAACACACATGCTGCTTACACTCAAGTATTACAAGGTATTTCGAACACTTTCATTTGATAGTTCTCATCCTACACTGTGAAAAAAATAGTCAGGAAATAGACTGAAGCTCTCCCCACAAAACCAAGCATTTCCTTGCTGGTAACCTGCATGCCCAAATTACAGACTGAAGCACATTTTCTATTCAAGTCCATCCCACTCCATCCTGTTCAGAGCTAGCAATTTTTGTATTTATAATAGGAATAAAAAGAGGCATTAAACATAAGAGGAACAGTTTACTTGCCCAGTGTTCATAGATTCATAGAAGTAGGGTTGGAAGGGACCTAAGTAGATCATCTAGTCTGACCCCCTGCCCAGGCAGGAGAGAATACTGGGCTCATATGACCCCAGCTAGGTAATCATCAAGCCTCCTCTTAAAGACCCCCAGGGTAGGAGCCAGCACCACTTCCCTTGGAAGTTGGTTCCAGATCCTAGCCGCCCTGACAGTGAAGTAGTGCCTTCTAATGTCCAGCCTGAACCTACTCTCAAACAACTTATGGCCGTTATTCCTTGTTACTCCGGGAGGTGCTCAGGGGAACAGGGACTCTCCCATTCCCCGCTGGTGCCCCCTGGTAAGTTTGTAGATGGCCACCAGGTCCCCTCTCAGCCTTCTCTTCTGTTAGTTTACTGCTCCATAACAGACAGTGACAACTAAATACAACATTGTAAAAGACACGTTTATAACATCAAACTCTTCTGTTTCAAAATAGCTAGACACAACACAATCTTTCACCCCAAGGACAAAGTGTGCTGTCTTCTGTTAACAGCAACACCCTATTACTGAGTTATCATTTTGTACAGGAAATAAAGCACAGAAAACAGGAAGTACAGGTGGCAGATTTTGCAGTAGCAGAAATATTGGTCTTAACCATACTCACACATGCAGATCCACCTATGCCTCACCCTGCCTGGAGAAGCAAATAGCAAGCGACATTTATAGCAGCTCTTCAGAATGGATACTGGAGGGCTGTTAGCTGAAAAGATTAAGTGTAGGGGACTTGATTGTCAGAAAGGTTTGTTTTGTAATTCTCAAGTGCTAATAAGGTTACTTTTGCTTCCATCAATCTTTGTTGAAATAGTCCACTTGGAGACTGTCTCCTCTATTAATCGGCGGTTCTTCAGATAAACTACAATAGCCATTATGAATGCTAAGCAGCCTTATAAAAAATTTCTGAAGCTGCCATGGTGGTATCAGGTGGGATCATTCCCAGTTTCCCTATAAAGAAGCCACAATATTTACATGAGAGATAAAGCTGGACATGCCTGAATTTGGGGCTTTTCAGATCTGTGATTTTGAGTCAGGCAAATTGCTACTGTAGACACATACTACAGTGACACGGTCAGTACATGAAGCCAGGCTAATGCACATTTTAATTGAGATCACTTTTGCTGAAAAATCCACTCCTGATCAATCAGCATTTAAGTCACTACACAGTAAAGGATAAAACAAAAGCATGTTAACCTAGGTCAGTGGTTCTCAACCTTTTCAGATTTAGGGCATCCCTCTATAACTTTATTTTTTTTCATTTGGAGACACCCTGGATGAGAACCACAGTTGTACTGCCTCATTTTGCTTCAGTTCTTCTCAACTGGGGTGTTGGTGTTGCCACAGCCCTGTTGGTGGTGGAACTGCCCCGTTTGCCTTGTGCAAAGCCAGACTGGAT